CTTCTGGTCTTCTGAGCTCTGACCAGAATCTCCCATACAGAACAGCTGAAGCTGTTCCAGCGCTTCGCGTGTAGACGACATCTCCAAATCTTTCCTATCTCTTCCCATTAGCCAGTCCCAAAAGCTTTCTAATATGTTGTTAACAAGATTTATTATATTGCAACTGCAAGGAGATTCCTTTAAAGTCAGAAATCAGAAAAAGGATGAAAGGTTTCTGTACTCACAAGGTAGGGATCAGATTTCCACTTTGATCCAGGCCTTAAGGTTGTTTTTGGGAGTCTGCCTTAGTTTCTCCAAAGATAGGACCTACAGTGGCTCAGTGGTTGGTATCCAGAGCCCAGGGAAGAATGCCTGGGCCTGGAGCCCCATGGAGGCCAGGCTGGCTGCTCTCTTCATAGCCTGGGATCTGTTTCTGGGAACCCTGGCCTGAGTGAGCGCCTGTGGACCGGAACCCACGGCAGGACAGGGCCAGCTTTCCGCATATGGCTTGCTCTCCGCAAGTGCTTTGATCCCCTTTCCTCACCAATGCCTGTTTTTCTGGGACCTTGCGGCCAATGTTAATTTCATGCCAGTGCCCCATGTCCAGTTGCCCTGTGTCCCATGCTGTTTGTTTGTCACCTGGGTTCCCCCCTCCCCACGTGGGCAAGGTGAGGGCTGCCACTAACTTCATTGTCTGTGACCTGGGCATAGGCCGAGGGAAGACCCCAGTGCACTAGTTCTGTGGGGGCAGAGTTGGGGCATAGGGCCACCCCACTGGGGGCTACCTTCGGTGGGTGTGAGAGGAGAAGCAGCCTCCTCAGTGCTGACTCTGCTGCATCAGAAAGTGGCTAATGCTACCCAGGAAGCCGGGGCGGGGACCCCATGAAGGCTTCTAATGCAGGAGGTGGAAGTCTCGGGGGGAGACCAGCTTCACCTGTGGGGAAGGCAGCAAGCCAGTGTTCCTGGTGGAAAGTCATAGCACTCATGCATGACAGCCCTGTTCCTACACTTGCACATCAGGGATGGCCATACAGACTAGAGGGCTACACAGGGTCAGGGAGGGGGACTATGGAGGGGCCGAGTGGAGAGGACCAGGCACATGGGGCTTCCCACAGTGCAGGCCATGACTCACGTGGACCATGGCAAGCCACCTGCTGGCTGGCCCAGGGGACCCAGGCACTCCTCACCAAAGCAGTGGTGGCAGGAAGCGAGCGAGCATCAGGTGGGTGCTGCCAGGGGGGAGGGGTGTCCTCAGCCACACATGTGGCTTCACACAACAGCATTGTGTAGTAGAAGAACCACACCTGCAGCCAGCAATCTACGTGTGCAAAGAGAGAAGGGTGCGGGCTGGCATTGGTGGTGCCATCCATCTTCCCTTCTCTGTCCCCCTCCACAGCCAGGCATCCTCCTCCCAATCTGCAATACCAACAATGCTGGCAATAGGCCCCAGTATAAAGCAACTGGTAGTGGAGCTCTGTGATGAAAACCACTGGCTCTGGGGTCATCTGGGTGTGACTGAGATCTTTCCAGCCCTGATCTCCAGGGTTCTATGCACTTCTAGCCAGCAAAGGGGTTAAT